TGTGGCACTAGTTCATATAATGGGCTGGTCTCTAATACTTAAGCTCCAGGTGTGTGGCAATAGTTCATATAATGGGCTGGTCTCTAATACTTTAGCTCCAGGTGTGTGGCACTAGTACATATAATGGGCTGGTCTCTAATACTTTAGCCCCAGGTGTGTGGCACTAGTTCATATAATGGGCTGGTCTCTAATACTTTTGCTCCAGGTGTGTGGCAATAGTTCATATAATGGGCTGGTCTCTAATACTTTAGCCCCAGGTGTGTGGCACTAGTTCATATAATGGGGTGGTCTCTAATACTTTAGCCCCAGGTGTGTGGCACTAGTTCATATAATGGGCTGGTCTCTAATACTTTAGCTCCAGGTGTGTGGCACTAGGTCATATAATGGGCCGGTCTCTAATACTTTAGCTCCAGGTGTGTGGCACTAGTTCATATAATGGGCTGGTCTCTAATACTTTAGCCCCAGGTGTGTGGCACTAGTTCATATAATGACCTGGTCTCTAATACTTTAGCTCCAGGGGTATGGCACTAGTTCATATAATGGGCTGGTCTCTAATACTTTAGCTCCAGGTGTGTGGCACTAGTTCATATAATGGGCTGGTCTCTAATACTGTAGCTGCGGTTGTGTGGCCCTTGTTCATATTATGGGCTGGCCTCTAATACTTTAGCTCCAGGTGTGTGGACCTTGTTCATATTATGGGCTGGTCTCTAATACTTTAGCTCCAGGTGTGTGGCACTAGTTCATATAATGGGCTGGTCTCTAATACTTTAGTTCCAGGTGTGTGGCACTAGTTCATTTAATGGGCTGGTCTCTAATACTTTAGTTCCAGGTGTGTGGCACTAGTTCATATAATGGGCTGGTCTCTAATGCTTTAGCTCCAGGTGTGTGACACTATAGTTCATATAATGGGCTGCTCTCTAATGCTTTAGCTCCAGGTGTGTAGCACTAGTTCATATAATGGGCTGGTCTCTAATACTTTAGCTCCAGGTGTGTGGCACTTGTTCATATAATGGGTTGGTCTCTAATACCTTAGCTCCAGGTGTGTCGCACTAGTTCATATAATGGGCTGGTCTCTAATACTTTAGCTCCAGGTGTGTGGCACTTGTTCATATAATGGGCTGGTTTCTAATACTTTAGCCCCAGGTGTGTGGCACTAGTTCATATAATGGGCTGGTCTCTAATACTTTAGCTCCAGGTGTGTGGCACTAGTTCATATAATGGGCTGGTCTCTAATACTTTAGTTCCAGGTGTGTAGCACTAGTTCATATAATGGGCTGGTCTCTAATACTTTAGCTCCAGGTGTGTAGCACTAGTTCATATAATGGGCTGGTCTCTAATACTTTAGCTCCAGGTGTGTGGCACTAGTACATATAATGGGCTGGTCTCTAATACTTTAGCTCCAGGTGTGTAGCACTAGTTCATATAATGGGCTGGTCTCTAATACTTTAGCTCCAGGTGTGTGGCACTAGTTCATATAATGGGTTGGTCTCTAATACCTTAGCTCCAGGTGTGTCGCACTTGTTCATACAATGGGCTGGTCTCTAATACTTTAGCTCCAGGTGTGTGACACTATAGTTCATATAATGGGCTGCTCTCTAATGCTTTAGCTCCAGGTGTGTAGCACTAGTTCATATAATGGGCTGGTCTCTAATACTTTAGCTCCAGGTGTGTCGCACTAGTTCATATAATGGGCTGGTCTCTAATACTTTAGCTCCAGGTGTGTGGCAATAGTTCATATAATGGGCTGGTCTCTAATACTTTAGCTCCAGGTGTGTGGCACTAGTTCATATAATGGGCTGGTCTCTAATACTTTAGATGCAGGTGTGTGGCACAAGTTCATATAATGGGCTGGTCTCTAATACTTTAGCTGCAGGTGTGTGACACTAGTTCATATAATGGGCTGGTCTCTAATACTTTAGTTCCAGGTGTGTGGCACAAGTTCATATAATGGGCTGGTCTCTAATACTTTAGCTGCAGGTGTGTGACACTAGTTCATATAATGGGCTGGTCTCTAATACTTTAGTTCCAGGTGTGTGGCACTAGTTCATATAATGGGCTGGTCTCTAATACTTTAGCTCCAGGTGTGTGACACTAGTTCATTTAATGGGCTGGTCTCTAATACTTTAGTTCCAGGTGTGTGGCACTAGATCATATAATGGGCTGGTCTCTAATACTTTAGCTCCAGGTGTGTGGCACTAGATCATATAATGGACTGGTCTCTAATACTTTAGCTCCAGGTGTGGGGCACTAGTTCATATAATGGGCTGGTCTCTAATACTTTAGTTCCAGCTGTGTGGCACTAGTTCATATAATGGGCTGGTCTCTAATATTTTAGCTCCAGGTGTATGGCACTAGTTCTTATAATGGGCTGGTCTCTAATACTTTAGCTCCAGGTGTATGGCACTATAGTTCTTATAATGGGCTGGTCTCTACCCAGCTAACACACTACGTTTTCACAACGTTGTGGTAAAGTTGTGAATTGGTAACGTAGTGATACAACGTTGTCACAACGTTATTATTACGTCACTGTGCAACGTCGTTTCACAACGTAATAACAACGTTGCATTTTTACGTTGTGAAAACGTTGTTCATCGAATATTTCCCAAAGTCTTGTTACATCGTTCCTGAAACGTTGGTGCGACGTCAACTGTCGCCTTAACAAAAATTGTATGAACAAAAGTTTTACATACAAATCGACCCAATTTCTGCCCAAAACAAGGCAGTAATTCATTATTTACCTATATCTTCGGAATCAGGATTTCCATCTGTGTAAACACCTTATTATCACGTCACTCCAACGTTATGTGACAACGTAATCACAACGTAGCAAAATTACGTTGTGGAAACGTTGTGCATCGGGCGCCATGCAACGTTATGATGACAACGTTTCTCTTACGTTGGTGCGACGTCAAATAGTCTTCATCGCGAAAAGCGTAAAAACAAAGGTGTTTACTCGAAATAAACTACATTTTGGCAGAAAATTACAATAATGTTAGATTTGGTTTTCACTTTTCAGCAACCCGTGCTTGTCGTAAGAGGCGATTAAACAACACACAATGACAATAACATTTTCGCCATACATGCATGATTCGCACTTCCATCGTTGTTGAAAGGTTGTGGATTGGTAACGTCGTGATATAACGTTGTAACAACGTTATTTTAACGTCGATCTGCAACGTGATTTCACAACGTAATAACAACGTTGCACATTCACGTTGTGAAAACGTTGTGCATTGGACATCACACAACGTTTTGTAACTACGTTTCTGAAACGTCAGTGAAACGTTATTGAGTTTGCTTCTCGATAGTCATAAAGGAATAGAACTGCTTTATCAAAATCAACATGAATTTGTCAGAAAACCAAGGTAGTAATGCATTACCTTTCTATATATTCGGCATTTGAATTTTCATCTCTTAATACTAATATTTCGAGAACGTAATTGCGTATATCTGTGACAACGTTACAACAGGGTTGCAAATTAACGTTGTGATAACGTTGTGCTTTGGACATTACAGTACTTTTGTAAATGATGTTTAGGAAACCACTTGTAGATCTACCATCTCTTAGTGTTATTTTTTTTAAACATATATATCTATTAACGAACTAAATGTTGTCACAAGCAATATTACAGTTAAAAACAATTGGCGCGTATTTTTTGCGGCGTGAGAGCGACTGCAGAAAAGTTTAGCCTGTTGCCTCGTGAAGTGACGTCAGAATGACGTCACATTGTCGCGGAAGATTTGTTGTCACCAGCCATCTTAGTTAAAACTCACTCTGGACATAATATATTACAAGCAAGTGATTGTGCAGCAACTGGAACTGGACAGATGATCTGTGAATTCGATTGAGGTAAGTTAATTTTTCAAAAATAGTCTCCGCTTGTTGATATGTTTCTGTGCATGCAGTGCGTCAAATGATCTAAATGTATCGTATTATTCAGAAGTGGCAGGGTTAAGAATGCAGTTTGCCGGTCATTTTCACTGAGCGTCAGTGTTGATATTAATATGATACACAGAACTTGATGATAGAGGTGAAGGGGGCCCAAGACTTTTTTCCATATTATTATTTTATGGATACCAAGGGTAATTGCCAAGGGCAAGCGGTATATTTTTGACCAGAATTCAATCTGGTGGCGTTTTGTGGCCGTCATATTATGTTCGGGTTTCGTTCGTAAGCGTGTAGATTTGTAAATAGGCCTAACTTATGCATCGCCTACTGACCGCACTGACAGTTATCGCCATTTCTTCTGTGTTATTTCTGAAATCATTACTATTTAAAGTTTACATGTACTAATCTTCTGACTTTGATTTTTGTGCAACAATGTGGCTCATCCAGGCCATGGGAAAGGTTAAGTAGATTTCTCTTATACAGCGAAAAGAGGGAATCAAAACAATGGAAGTATTCAGATCGACTCTCTGTAGGCTGCTAGTTATAGCCCTAGTCTAAAGTGATCAATGATGTTATGAAAAAAATCGTATTTTCGGGAAGAGACAGAAACATACTTGATGTTTCCGAAAAGGCCTAATTAGCACTGACTGAAGTAGCCTAAATGTGGATCATATGGTTGTTGCTGCTGTCTATAAAGTTTATCATAGCAAGGTGCTTATCATGTGTATGTTTATTATTTCCGAAAAAAGAATCAATTCATCATTTTCCGATAACTAGATCTATGTCCGACTCCTTTCTAATGAAAACGAGCAAAAGTAAAACGAGTCTCTCGTCGCGCGCTATAACGGGGTGTTTGCGGTATTGTCCTCTCTGGTGATGATAAGCTAGTCGATAGTCAAAAGTTAAATATCACCATATATTGTCAGTGAGTTGGTCATCGTTTGTTGATTATTAAAGTGAGATAGGTGTAGCCAATGTGCACCAATGAAAAATACAATGGAATTGATAGCAACCATATTCTTTCGGTTTTCGATCTGCATATGTTGCCACGTAGGCTACCATACTACAGAATTATATTTAACGATATTTAACTGTATTAGATCTTTGTTAATAAACGTAGTGACAAATAAATTTCAATAAATATTTAGAGCTGTTTCAACTTCGTCTGGTATTGTATAAGCTATTGCATTTTGTTTATTTCCCCATGTTTCTAATCTTTGTAAATGTTAGAACATATATAACTATCCTGGCATATTAATATGGAAAATATTAAGGTAGATCTAAGTATTAAAAAAAATCACAGTTTTAATTAGGATAAATACCCCAAAGTGTTAACACTTTTATCACTTATTGGTGGGCCAATTCATAATTCATATTCAACATTCTTGCTTCAAATATGGGAACTATTTATTTTATTTGGCAATATATATTTTTCATTTATGTACATATTTTTCAAATAAGGTTTTAGAAACTTGGCCATGATATTCACTTGAATCACTAGTTTGAGTGTACAGCAGAAAGGTTAAGTTACTGCTTTTGAAAAACTACAGTTGATCTGTTGACTGATAAAACTATTTGCCAATATTACTATCAGTTACATCATACTCTATTAGTCTAAGTAAATGGGATTTATCTATACAGTACTGGTTTATTTAAGAATGTGATACTTTGTGGTTTCTGTTTTTCTTTCAGGTGGAGAAAACAGTATTGTGGGAGCGTATTTGTTTAAAGTACATATCACTGACAGAAAGGTATGTCTGATTCAATAATATATACAAACATCTTCAAGAATTAAAATTTAGATGATTCTTATTTAATTATACCCACAATCTAAAAGGGCGGGGTATAAAGTTACACCAATGATTCAGTGCTAAAAGCTTTTCTGCTTATGTATGATCCAAGAGCATCATGGTATTAGTGTCAGCGCCTTCGCACTTTCAGCAGTTTTTAACAGTTTAAAGACTGACATCAGACATCAAAACATTATTTTGGGGAATGCAACCGTTATTTTGTTATGTCAGAAATATGTCCCTTGCCTTGCCATTTTATAACATTTGTGTCATTTTTTATTCAGTTACCAAGGCATAAGGAGAGACTGAGGATACAGTTGAAGATCATCCCTGTGACTTTTCATTTGAGGACTGAAAAGGCTCCCCAGCAACTCAGCCCATGTTCTGACTTGTCATTTAACAAATAAATAAAGGTCACCTCAACCAGAATTCTATTGTCATTTCGATTACCTAATGGATCTTAGGACATCAGATGCATAGACTATTCTGTTTGTCACAGTGTTGCTCTCAATGCTGAATGTATGAGGTAAGGCCAAGAAAATTTAAATGTTTCAATTTGTGCAGGGCTTATTGTTTGATGGTTTTTAATTTGCAAATTCGTGGGAAAATCCAATATCTTTTAATTGTGTTGAAACATTTGTGAACAATTTGCACATAGCCTTGAAAATTGTTTTGGAAAATGAATATTATATTACCAAATTGTACATGTAATTTAAAACATTTAGATTTATATCTTGGCCGTATTTCAAACTCTGCCAAAAGAGAGTGCATTTCATTGACTTGCTGTTTCATGGATAGGGTTAAAGTGAATTCAGTTTGCAGAATGTATTTCTTGGTACCTGACGTCTTAACTAGATTGGTACAAACTTTTCAGGCTGCCTGGGAGGTATTGAGGAATAAAACAGGCGTTAATCTACATGGACATTGCAACAACGTGCTGCAATGCCTGTGGTGTCGCCATATGTAAACAGTATGCGATACCTACGTTGTCGCGACGTAAAAAATGGACGTTGTGACAACGTCTTGATTTGGTTGTATTTTGGTTTACGCACAACGTTGTAGCAACCAATCTGGGAGTCTAAAGAATTACGTTGTGACAACGTAACATCACAACGTTGTAGCAACGAAAAGTAAACGTTGTCACAACGTTGTAACAACGTAGAATTGTTGGCTGGGTAGGTTGTCGCGACGTTTTGGTTAAACGTTGTAGCAACGTAAAAAATGGACGTTGTGACAACGTCTTGATTTGGTTGTATTTTGGTTTACGCACAACGTTGTAGCAACCAATCTGGGAGTCTACAGATTTACGTTGTGACAACGTAACATCACAACGTTGTAGCAACGAAAAGTAAACGTTGTCACAACGTTGTCACAACGTTGTCACAACGTAGAATTGTTTGCTGGGTAATACTTTAGCTCCAGGTGTGTGACATTAATTCATACAATGGGCTGGTCTCTAATACTTTAGCTCCAGGTGTGTGGCACTATAGTTCATATAATGGGCTGGTCTCTAATACTTTAGCCCCAGGTGTGTGGCACTAGTTCATATAATGGGCTGGTCTCTAATACTTTAGCTGCAGGTGTGTGGCACTAGTTCATAAAATGGGCTGGTCTCTAATACTTTAGCTCCAGCTGTGTGGCACTATAGTTCTTATAATGGGCTGGTCTCTAATACTTTAGCTGCAGGTGTATGGCACTAGTTCATATAACGGGCTGGTCTCTAATACTTTAGATGCAGGTGTATGGCACTATAGTTCTTGTAATGGGCTGGTCTCTAATACTTTAGCTGCAGGTGTATGGCACTAGTTCATATAACGGGCTGGTCTCTAATACTTTAGATGCAGGTGTATGGCACTATAGTTCTTGTAATGGGCTGGTCTCTAATACTTTAGCTGCAGGTGTATGACATTAGTTCATATAACGGGCTGGTCTCTAATACTGTACTTCCGGGTGTATGGCACTAGTTCTTATAATGGGCTGGTCTCTAATACTTTAGCTCCAGGTGTATGGCACTAGTTCATATAACGGGCTGGTCTCTAATACTTTAGATGCAGGTGTATGGCACTATAGTTCTTGTAATGGGCTGGTCTCTAATACTTTAGCTGCAGGTGTATGGCACTAGTTCATATAACGGGCTGGTCTCTAATACTTTAGATGCAGGTGTATGGCACTATAGTTCTTGTAATGGGCTGGTCTCTAATACTTTAGCTGCAGGTGTATGGCATTAGTTCATATAACGGGCTGGTCTCTAATACTGTACTTCCGGGTGTATGGCACTAGTTCTTATAATGGGCTGGTCTCTAATACTTTAGCTGCAGGTGTGTGGCACTAGTTCATAAAATGGGCTGGTCTCTAATACTTTAGCTCCAGCTGTGTGGCACTATAGTTCTTATAATGGGCTGGTCTCTAATACTTTAGCTGCAGGTGTATGGCACTAGTTCATATAACGGGCTGGTCTCTAATACTTTAGATGCAGGTGTATGGCACTATAGTTCTTGTAATGGGCTGGTCTCTAATACTTTAGCTGCAGGTGTATGGCACTAGTTCATATAACGGGCTGGTCTCTAATACTTTAGATGCAGGTGTATGGCACTATAGTTCTTGTAATGGGCTGGTCTCTAATACTTTAGCTGCAGGTGTATGGCATTAGTTCATATAACGGGCTGGTCTCTAATACTGTACTTCCGGGTGTATGGCACTAGTTCTTATAATGGGCTGGTCTCTAATACTTTAGCTGCAGGTGTGTGGCACTAGTTCATAAAATGGGCTGGTCTCTAATACTTTAGCTCCAGCTGTGTGGCACTATAGTTCTTATAATGGGCTGGTCTCTAATACTTTAGCTGCAGGTGTATGGCACTAGTTCATATAACGGGCTGGTCTCTAATACTTTAGATGCAGGTGTATGGCACTATAGTTCTTGTAATGGGCTGGTCTCTAATACTTTAGCTGCAGGTGTATGGCACTAGTTCATATAACGGGCTGGTCTCTAATACTTTAGATGCAGGTGTATGGCACTATAGTTCTTGTAATGGGCTGGTCTCTAATACTTTAGCTGCAGGTGTATGGCACTAGTTCATATAACAGGCTGGTCCCTAATACTTTAGATGCAGGTGTATGGCACTATAGTTCTTGTAATGGGCTGGTCTCTAATACTTTAGCTGCAGGTGTATGGCACTAGTTCATATAACGGGCTGGTCTCTAATACTTTAGCTGCAGGTGTATGGCACTAGTTCATATAACGGGCTGGTCTCTAATACTTTAGCTCCAGGTGTGTGGCACTAGTTCATATAACGGGCTGGTCTCTAATACTTTAGCTCCAGGTGTGTGGCACTAGTTCATATAACGGGCTGGTCTCTAATACTTTAGCTCCAGGTGTGTGGCACTAGTTCATATAACGGGCTGGTCTCTAATACTTTAGCTCCAGGTGTGTGGCATAGTTCATATAACGGGCTGGTCTCTAATACTTTAGCTCCAGGTGTGTGGCACTAGTTCATATAACGGGCTGGTCTCTAATACTGTACTTCCGGGTGTATGGCACTAGTTCTTATAATGGGCTGGTCTCTAATACTTTAGCTCCAGGTGTGTGGCACTAGTTCATATAACGGGCTGGTCTCTAATACTTTAGCTCCAGGTGTGTGGCACTAGTTCATATAACGGGCTGGTCTCTAATACTTTAGCTCCAGGTGTGTGGCACTAGTTCATATAACGGGCTGGTCTCTAATACTTTAGCTCCAGGTGTGTGGCACTAGTTCATATAACGGGCTGGTCTCTAATACTGTACTTCCGGGTGTATGGCACTAGTTCTTATAATGGGCTGGTCTCTAATACTTTAGCTCCAGGTGTGTGGCACTTGTTCATATAATGGGCTGGTCTCTAATATGTTAGCTCCAGTTGAAATGCGCCACTTCCTAGTATAATGTGATGTTCGCTAATGTTTTAGCTCCAGCTGAGAAACGCCACCTCCTAGTATAATGTTATGCCCTCTAATGTTTCAGATCTAGTTGCGATTGGCCAAATGCTATTATTATTATGTGTTGGTCATTTAATGTTTGAGCTTCAGTTAAGACACGCCCCCGCCAACTATTATGAGCCGTTTTTATGATTCATATCCTGTTTAGACGCATCACTAAGACAAAGCAGATTATGGTTCCAGACAGAATCATTTTCTTCAATATAATGAGTTGGTCTCTACAGTGTTGTAGCTCCTGTTGTGACACGCCGCTTCATATAATGACTTGGTCTCTAATGACATGTTACAACTAAATTTTCTTTTCTTTTTTTTATATATTTTAAATGTACCATTATGTAATTAGTGTCTCGTAGGCCAACTGGCCGGGTGCCGTTTTTTTTAATGAAATGTTTATATGTCCATATATTTTGTACTGCAGCGTGTGACACTCTAATAAAACAATTTTCTTCTTTTCTTCTTTCTTCTTCTAATGTTTCAGCCCCGTTCGTGATGCGCCACTTTATAAGCTAGTTTTGATTGTTAATCTCGGCGCCACTTTAACTCCATATATAGATCTATTAGTTTCGTTATTGTCACTGTGACGTTGTACTTTTAATGTTTTAGCTCCAGTTGTGACGCGCCACTTCATATAATAACACGTCCCATTTTAATTCTGGAAACCCAAAAGTCCAGAAACTCTACGCTCTTTGCCCAGTCTCGGTTAAAGGTATTTACAAAATTAAACATGCCGTTTTCATGGGAACATACCAAGGAAGAAAAAATGAAAAAAAAAATGTTTAAAAACTCAATATTTAGACTATGTCGCCCATGGCCCTGCCCATGGGCGAAGTGTGGCCCATGGGCCTGCCCATGGGCGAAGTCTGGCCCATGGGTAGGCCCATGGGCAGGCCCATGGGCGAGAATATGTTCCTTCACTTAAAACTCATGTTTTTGTTTCGCAAATACATTTAACGTATTTATTGAAGTATCATGACACAAAATTTAACTCATCTTAACTTAATTCAACTATTTTATAGCGATATTGAAATATTTCGCCCATGGGCGAGAAAAAGCTTTGGCCCATGGGCAGGCCTATGGGCGAGAATATGTTCCTTTACTTAAAACTCATGTTTTTGTTTCGCAAATACATTTAATGTATTTATTGAAGTATCATGACACAAAATTTAACTCATTTTAACTTAATTCAACTATTTTATAGCGATATTGAAATATTTCGCCCATGGGCGAGAAAAAGCTTTGGCCCATGGGCGAGAATATGTTCCTTTACTTAAAACTCATGTTTTTGTTTCGCAAATACATTTAATGTATTCATTCAAGTACCATGACACCAAATTTAACTCATTTTAACTTAATTCAACGATTTTATAGTGATATTGAAATATTTCGCCCATGGGCGAGAAAAGGTTTGGCCCATGGGCAGGCCCATGGGCGAGAACATGTTCCTTTACTCAAA